TTATCGGCGGCGGAAGCAGCAACGCTGGGTGCGAGCATCGTCGGCACAGGTGAGCGAAAAGGGTTAGAGGAGTGGAGATAGCGAGAGGGAGAGAAATAGGGTGAATGGTGAGTAAGAGAGAGGGAGAGTTAGAGAAAGAGCGATAGAGAGAGAGAAGGAAAGGGCAGGGGTTGGTTGAGTTTTAGAGAAGTACGGAGGTTGAGATCTGTAAGAAAAGAATGTTTGCGCATTGTGACCTATTGTGAGTGGCTTCTAGGATGCTTGGCTGAAACACGCTTTCGTAGTGTGCTGCACTTGCGTTTTGTGAGCTAGCGCCACCTGCTTGTTGGAGTTTAGTGCGCTTACTGTGAAATTCGAAACCTATGGCTTTGCTGTAGCCTGGTGCCGTGGGCACAGGAGCCCTGTGCCCTTGCGCCATTGGCGCGGACCCCGTGGGCGCTGGATCCTTAGGCGTTTGGCTTAGGGCGCTGGGGCCTTGGGCTTGAGCTCCATGAGTGCTGGCCCCAAAGGCGCTTGCGCCGTTGGCGCGGGCGCCGTAGGTGTTAGCGCTCAACGCCCTTGCCCTTATGCCGCAAGCGCCTTGAATACTACCCCTTAAGGCGCTTATGTCGCTTGCGATTAGGGCTCTGCACCGTGTGTGCTTGTGCTTAGGGCGTGAGTGGGTGTGAGTGGTTGCAAGGGCGAGTCGAGAGTGTCAACTTATATTTGTAACTGCCTGTAGCTGTAGTTAGTGTAGTTATTTAAACTTTGTATTGGTGGTGCACCTTATGTGTTTCCTTTGCTATATGTACTTCCAAACTATAGTGAAGCCACACATTTCTCCAACTTTTCTCAACTCACTCGAACTCCTACCTAGGCCCAAAACCGCTCGACACCTAAAGCTCGGGCCTAGGCTACTAAGCCTAGGCCCCACCTTTCTACCTCTCAACTTATCTATTCGTATTACTCTCGACATGTTATCGGAGCTTTTTACGACCTGGCCTGTGTGCCCGCCTTACGCTTCCGCGATGAGTTTTCAGTCGCGCGTCTAGGGCGCGTGACGATTTTTTAATTAGTCCCGCCCACGGGTGTGTGGCTCCTTCTCTGCCCGTCGCGCGCCCCGTGGCACGCGACGGTGCCCTTCATCTGCCCATCGTGCGCCCCGTGGCACACGATGGTGCCCTGCTCGTCGTGCGCCCCTAGGCGCACGATCGGGCCCGGTTTCTTCTCCTACCCGTCGTGCGCCCCGTGGCACTGGCCCGCGACGGGCCTTTCCGCCCCTGCACTCCCTGGAGCCGCCCCTGACCCAACTGCACCGACACCTTTTCGCCGCTCTGCGGCTTTCTTCCTTCCCACCCCCCTCCTCCTTTGTCTCCCTGCATCCGTGGGGAGGAGGGTATGGGGGTGGAGGGTGTTGGAGTGTGGCGTCACCTCTCTCCCTTCCCCTCCTCCTTCTTTCAGTCCCACCGCTGCAGCTGCCGCTGGGGGGGGAGGGTGTGAGGATGTGGGGGAGCAGGGGGAGTGGTACCGGGGTGGCGGGTGTGAGGCAACAAGCAGCCGTCCCTCCACCTCTCCTCTCTTCCCCCCTTCTCTGCTGCTTCTGCAGCAGTGTGGGGGAGGGGAAGGAGGAGGGTGAGGAGATGGAGGGGGTGACCAACTAGTGTCAGCCCGCCTGCATTACCTGCTGTTGCTTGCTTGTTATTACTTTGCATGTGTACACCTGCAGGTTGCATTCTGCACATACTCCTGCTGCAGGCAGTTATGGGGGAGTGTCAACTTATATTTGTAACTGCCTGTAGCTGTAGTTAGTGTAGTTATTTAAACTTTGTATTGGTGGTGCACCTTATGTGTTTCCTTTGCTATATGTACTTCCAAACTATAGTGAAGCCACACATTTCTCCAACTTTTCTCAACTCACTCGAACTCCTACCTAGGCCCAAAACCGCTCGACACCTAAAGCTCGGGCCTAGGCTACTAAGCCTAGGCCCCACCTTTCTACCTCTCAACTTATCTATTCGTATTACTCTCGACAGAGAGTGTGCGAGAGGGTGAGTGCGGGTGTGAATCTAGGTGCTTGTGTGGGTGTGAGTGCGAGAGTGAGATGCGCGCGAGGGTGAGTGCAGTTGTGGGCGGAAGGGCGAGTGCGAGGTTGAATTAGAGAGCAAGCGCATGAGTGAGTGCGAGAGTAGTGAGAAGGTGAGTGAGAAAGCAAGTTTGAGAGTGAGTGCGAGTGTGAGTGCGAGGGCGAGTTTGAGGGTGAGTGCGCGCGTGATTGTGTGTGTGCGTGCGAGGTAGAGTGCAAGGGAACACGAGGGTGCGATTGAGTGTGTGTGAGGGTGAGCGCGAGGACATATGCAAGGGTGTGCGTGTGTTTTTGTAAGTGTCAAAGAAGAGTTGAGAGTATATTTGTGTGAGTGAAGAGTGAGTGCGAGAGTGTGAGGCTGAGTGAGTGAGTTGGTGGCTGCAATGTTGAGTGCATGCAAGGGTGATCGTGGTGTGAGTGTAAGAGTGAGTGCGAGGGTGAGTACGAGTATGTGCAAGAGAGAGTGGGAGAGTGAGGGCGAGTAGGACTGAGAGAAGGAGTGCGAGCGTGAGTGTGGGCGTGGCTGTAGGTGCGAGTGTGGGTGTGTGTGTGAGTTGAGTTCAAGTGTACGAGCGGCTGTGTGTGCGTGTGCGTGTTCGAATGAGTGCAAGGGTGAGCGCGAGCGCGAGTCCGAAGGTGAGCGTGAGGGTTTATGTGTCTGTTTCTGTGAGTGTGTCTCAGAACGGTTAGAAAGTACTTGTGTGTTCGTGAGTGGTTGCGAGCGTGAGTGCAAGAGAGTGTGAGAGAATGAGTGCGGGTGTGAGTGCGAGTGAGTGCACGCATGCTCTTGAGGGTGCAGAAGAGTGTGTGTACGAGGGTGAATGCGAGAGGAAGTGCGAGCATGAGTGCGAGAGTGAATGCGAAGGTGTGTGCAAGGGTCAGTGCAAGAGCAAGTGTTAGAGTGAGAGAGTGAGTGTGAGTATGAGTGTGAGTGCAAGTGAGTGTGCGAAAGTGAGTGCAAAGGTGAGTGCGAGGGTGCGGGTGTGAGTGCAATGGTAAGTGCGAGGGTGAGAGCGAGGGTACGTGCGAACATGAGTGCGAAGATGAGTTTGAGGGTGAGTGCGAGGGTGCGTGCAAGGGTGCGTGCGAGTGTGCGTGCTAGTGCATGCGAGTTTTGTGTGAGTGTGAGAGTGCAGGGAGTGTGTGTTTCTGTGAGCGTGTATAACAGAAGTTGGGAGCGATAGTGTGTACGTGATTTGGAAAGTGAGTGCGAGAGTGAGGTGTGAGGATGAGAGTGTCAAGGTGAAGGCGAGGGTGGCAGCGAGGTATTGCGTGCATGTTGGCGTGGTATGTGTGACGACACGATATCTTTTACCGAATCGATGTCAAATTTGATTGCTTTCGTCCCTCATCTTTGTTTTTGTACTTCATTCTTCATCAGCGCCTTGTTATAACTCTTACCTCGTTTCTTGTGCTCGGGTGGGCTGCATTCCTGTGATTGTTTGTTTTTGTTTGTGCAGGGAGTGTCAGTTGCACTATCTGTTTTTGCTTTCTTGTCTAGGGAGTGTGAGTTGCATGCGCTGTTTGTGCTGTTTGTGCTTTCTTGTGCAAGGAGTTCAAGCTGCACTATTTGGCTTTTCTTGTGGAGAAAGAGGGGGGGGGGGGGGGGGGGGGGGGTTGAGTGAGGGTAAACAGAGACGGGAGGGTCGAATAAAATAGGGGATACCGGTATTGGAAGGGAGGGGGGGATGGGAGACAAGGGAGGGAGGGAGGGGAATCTGGGACAGATTAACGATTATTTATACAGGCTGGGCTCATTCGTTACGCTTGCATTGCATGTTCAATAGCGGTAGAAAGCTTTTGTGTTTGTATGCGTCTGCGTGTAGGTGTGTGTGTAGGTGTGTGTGTGAGTGAGCTTGCATGTGTCTGTCCATACATGTTGGTGTTGTTTGTGTCTGTTTCGGGGATTGGTGTTGAGTGCCTCGTGTATGCAACTGGGGTTGTGATCGTCGGTGGGGCAGCTTTGCTCGCCCCTTCCGCACCATATCAACCTCTGTTGCATCATCGATGCATTTAGCATTCACAACTGTTTAGTGTTCAGCGTTTTTGTGCAAGTTTGTGTGTTGTCGTTTGTGTCTGTTTCGGGGATTGGTGTTGAGTGCCTCGTGTATGCAAATGGGGTTGTGATCGTCGGTGGGGCAGCTTTGCTCGCCCCTTCCGCACCATATCAACCTCTGTTGCATCATCATCGATGATGCATTTAGCATTAGCCTTGACACATTCTTGATTGTCAAACGCTTTTTAGCAAGTTCGTGTGCAGTCAGGTAGTTTGTGTCTGTTTCGGAGTGTGTCGAATGCATCGTGTGTGTGCTTTCAGATCGTCATGCTGATTTGTTTTTTTGTTTCGTCATTCGTAAGGAGAGATTGTCCAATTATTCCATTCGCCGTACTTATCGACGATTATGGATGATTGGACACATTTGGTTTCACTTGTAGGGTAACTTAGGGTACATTCCGCTGTGGACACATGTCCCAATCGATGTGTCCCAATCGTTTCTACCGCACTGCATCGTATTACACCAAATTGCACCCTAGTTTCGAAATTTTCGCGTCTCTGGTTTAGTTCGGTTCAGAGCGGTACACTCGATTGGGACACATCGATTGGGACATGTGTCCACAGCGGAACGTACCCTTATATGAACAGTGTTTTCTTCCAAAATCTTGGAGGGTTATCACTGTTCACATCAGCCAACCTAAAAGTGAAAACAAATGTATAAGGTTGCTACGCAACCCAAAAATATCGGTAATTGTTTAGTCACTATCTCTTTATTTTGCTAGTTTACTGTATATTACTGTACCTATTGACATTAATGTTTTCGAAACTCGCTGTGTTCATCCCTCCTTAGTATCAAGTTTTAAATAACGGGGAAACAAATGCAGGATTAAATGAACGAGTCCGAAAGACTGATAACGAGTTTCCTCTTCTAAACGAGTGCGCATGGGAATGTATTTGGACGGTCCGGGAGCCAATAGAAACAAAGTTAAAACAAATCGTCACGCGCCAGGTGTCCTGTGCGTGATCGCTCAAATTTCCCGAACCAACTCGGAGGGCTTGGGAGAAATTATCTGCACCAGTCGATCTCTACTTGTCAGATGTATCGGAAACCAATCGCAATTCGCGGGAAAACGCCAGGAGTCGAAAACCACTCGGCAACAACTCGTTCCCAACAAGTTTCCCACACCCCCCAAATTGGCGATGTCATTCACTTGATCGATTAGCTCCTTGGCAATTGTAGAGCTGCTACGTCCTCCTTTGAGACAGGAATCCGACACACACCCCACTTCCAAGGTAAGCCCTGCCACCTAAATCCAGTAGGGAAACGGCGACTCGGTTCAAGGTCGTGTTGGCCGCATCATGCCAAGCATTCTCTCACGCTTGACGCCAAGGCGTGAGAGCATGGCGAATGAACGCCCTGATCCAGCGCGCTCTCACGCTTTGCGCCAAGGCGTGAGAGCATGGCGAATGAACGCCCTGATCCAGCGCGCTCTCACGCTTGGCGCCAAGGCGTGAGAGCATGGCGAATGAACGCCCTGATCCAGCGCGCTCTCACGCTTTGCGCCAAGGCGTGAGAGCATGGCGAATGAACGCCCTGATCCAGCGCGCTCTCACGCTTGGCGCCAAGGCGTGAGAGCATGGCGAATGAACGCCCTGATCCAGCGCGCTCTCACGCTTTGCGCCAAGGCGTGAGAGCATGGCGAATGAACGCCCTGATCCAGCGCGCTCTCACGCTTGGCGCCAAGGCGTGAGAGCATGGCGAATGAACGCCCTGATCCAGCGCGCTCTCACGCTTTGCGCCAAGGCGTGAGAGCATGGCGAATGAACGCCCTGATCCAGCGCGCTCTCACGCTTGGCGCCAAGGCGTGAGAGCATGGCGAATGAACGCCCTGATCCAGCGCGCTCTCACGCTTGGCGCCAAGGCGTGAGAGCATGGCGAATGAACGCCCTGATCCAGCGCGCTCTCACGCTTGGCGCCAAGGCCTGAGAGCATGGCGAATGAATGCCCTGATCCAGCGCGCTCTCACGCTTGGCGCCAAGGTGTGAGAGCATGGCGAATGAACGCCCTGATCCAGCGCGCTCTCACGCTTGGCGCCAAGGCGTGAGAGCATGGCGAATGAACGCCCTGATCCAGCGCGCTCTCACGCTTTGCGCCAAGGCGTGAGAGCATGGCGAATGAACGCCCTGATCCAGCGCGCTCTCACGCTTGGCGCCAAGGCGTGAGAGCATGGCGAATGAACGCCCTGATCCAGCGCGCTCTCACGCTTGGCGCCAAGGTGTGAGAGCATGGCGAATGAACGCCCTGATCCAGCGCGCTCTCACGCTTTGCGCCAAGGCGTGAGAGCATGGCGAATGAACGCCGCCCTGATCCAGCGCGCTCTCACGTGTTTCTCTCCCCCTGTGTCTCAGATCCGTTGTCTCACCTTCTTCCGGGCAGCAGGTCGGGCTGTGAATGCTTGCATTCACACGTGTTTCTCTCCCCCTGTGTCTCAGATCCGTTGTCACACCTTACTAGTACTACTAGTAGCCGCCAGCTCGAGGTTTTAGAGATTGACGAGTCAAGGATTCTCAAGGCGTCCGGCGCCAAGCCGCTATTTCCCCCGGGCTGCCTGCGATGAAGCACCAGCGATGCCACCAGCTTTCTGCCTTGAAGGCGGCGCTCCCTGCTGCGCTCTCCCCAGCGCTCACCATGGCGCTCTGGCTTGTCGCCTTCAACGTCTCGTCGTGCCACGCGCAAGTGATCAATGCTTCTCAAGGTAGTAATCCTAGCACCGCTCACCGTCCCACCCAACCTCCTCCAACCTGTGACAGTACTATTGGCTCAGCGATACCCAACTAGGGAGGCAGTAGAAGTAGTGTTACCTCTCCCTCCATTCCTCCCCTCCTAAGGGAGTACTCAGGTGGCTCCCTCCTCCCTCCCGAATTCCCTCCAACCCTCTTCCCTCCCTCTCCCACTCCCTCCGTCCCTCCTCTCTCCCTCCTCCACTTCCTCCCTCCCAACCCCCTCCTTCCCCCACTCCCTCCCTCCCCTCCCCCCTCCCTCCCCCACTCCCTCGCTCCCACACTCCCTACCTCTCCCACTCCCTCCTGCCCCCCCCCTTCCCTCCCCCACTCCCTCCCTCCCTCCTCCCTCCCTCCTCCCTTCCCCACTCCCTCCCTCCCTCCCTCCCTCCCCCCCTTCCCCACTCCCTCCCTCCCTCTTCCCCCCCTTCCCCACTCCCTCCTTCCCCTTCCCCTCTCCCCCTCTCCTTCCGACGCATGCCTCGGATCTTATGCACTCATGCTACTCATGAGTGCTCATGTCACTCATTTCCTTCCGCGACTTTTCTTATGCCCTCTCCTCGCCCCAACACGTCAGGGTTGTTTCTCAGCGACGTCAAGACGGGATGGGGCATGGGGTGGAAGGTGGGAGACAAATGCAGCACAGTGGCATCTATCCTGTGCGACGCTTCAGGCATGATCACCTCGATGTGAGTGCACGCGTTGGTATCTTGGATGGAAAGGTACTTCTTCCATGACACACACACGATTTGCTGCCTGCCGCAGATGCTTCCCTCAGCTCCGAACCCGACCTCTCCCACCTCTCTCTCCCTCCGTGATCTACTTCTCCCATTACAGCTGCTTCCATTGCTCCAGGTTCCTCCCCTGATGCTATTTATTCCCCACGCCAGTCACCACTGTCGGCACTCCTCCACTGCCCATGCACTCTGCATGCCCACTCCTCCCCCCTTTTTCTGTCTGCATCGCGTTGCCACTCCTCGATCGTCTCTGCTACACCAACCTTGTGGTCTCGCTTCATGGAGTTCACGTGTGCCTTGCTTAGTAGAACACACAGTTGCCACTACACAATCTCTACCTTCACAATCACAAACCTCGACAATTGCCTGCCTCTAGCCCTTCTGAATCTATCATGCCTTCCAGTTCCCGCCACCCTCTGTAGACAAGCATTTGAGCCTCTCGTCTTACCACGCGCAACTCACTCACCCCTCACAGGGATCTTCGCTACAACAGTCTCACGGGCTCCATTCCCGACAGTATCTCTGTGCTGAAGGAACTGACACGGCTGTAAGAGGCACACTGGGTTTACTCCACCTGCGTGCTGCTCTGGGCACTGGGTGCTGCATGCCATGTGCGCCTTTTGGCATTCCTCCACTGCCCATGCACTCTGCATGCCCACTCCCCCCCCTTCTTCTGTCTGCATCGCGTTGCCACTCCTCGATCGTCTCTGCTGCACCAACCTTGTGGTCTCTCTTCATTGAGTTCACGTGTGCCTTGCTTAGTAGAACTCATAGTTTCCACTACACAATCTCTACCTTCACAATCACAAACCTCTACAACTGCCTGGCTCTAGCCCTCCTGAATGTATCATGCCTTCCAGGTTCCCGCCACCCTCTGTAGTCAAGCATTTGAGCCTCTCGTGTCACCACGATTTCACTCACCCCACACAGGGGTGTTACTAGCGGCAACAGCCTCACGGGTCCTATTCCCGACAGCATTTCTGTGCTCACACTACTCAAACAGCTGTAAGAGGCATACTGGGCTTGCTCCACCTGCGTGCTGCTCTGCCCACTGGGTGCTGCATGCCATGTGTGCATCACTGTTGGCACTCCTCCTCTGCCCATGCACTTTGCATGCCCACTCCTCACCCCCTCTTCTGTCTGCACAAACCTTGTGGTCTTGCTTCACTGTGTTCACGTGTGCCTTGCTTAGTAGATCTCACAGTTGCCACTACACAATCTCTACCTTCACAATCACAAACCTCTACAATTGCCTGGCTCTAGCCCTTCTGAATCTATCATGCCTTCTAGGTTCCCGCCACCCTCTGTAGACAAGCATTCGAGCCTCTCGTCTTACCACGTGCAACTCACTCACCCCACACAGGGGTCTTACGAACAACAGTCTCACGGGCTCCATTCCTGACAGCATCTCTGCGCTCACAGCACTCGATGTCCTGTAAGAGGCATACTGGGCTTGCTCCACCTGCGTGCTGCTCTGCCCGCTGGGTGCTGCATGCCATGTGTGCATCATTGCCGGCACTCCTCCACTGCCCATGCACTCTGCATGCCCACTCCTCCCCCTTCTTCTGTCTGCACAAACCTTGTGGTGTCGCTTCATTGTGTTCACGTGTGCCTTGCTTAGTAGAAGTCACAGATGCCACTGCACAATCTCGACCTTCACAATCACAAACCTCGACAATTGCCTGCCTCTAGCCCTTCTGAATCTATCATGCCTTCCAGGTTCCCGCCACCCTATGTAGACAAGCATTCGAGCCTCTTGTCTTACCTCGTAACTCACTCAACACCACACAGGAATCTTTGCGGCAACAATCTCACGGGCTCCATTCCTGACAGTATCTCTGCGCTCACAGCACTCGATGTCATGTAAGAGGCATACTGGGCTTGCTCCACCTGCGTGCTGCTCTCCCCGCTGGGTGCTGCATGCCATGTGTGCATCATTGCCGGCACTCCTCCACTGCCCATGCACTCTGCATGCCCACTCCTCCCCCCTTCTTCTGTCTGCACAAACCTTGTGGTGTCGCTTCATTGTGTTCACGTGTGCCTTGCTTAGTAGAAGTCACAGATGCCACTACACAATCTCTACCTTCACAATCACAAACCTCGACAATTGCCTGCCTCTAGCCCTTCTGAATCTATCATGCCTTCCAGGTTCTCGCCACCCTATGTAGACAAGCATTCGAGCCTCTCGTCTTACCTCCTAACTCACTCAACACCACACAGGGATCTTTGCGGCAACAATCTCACGGGCTCCATTCCTGACAGTATCTCTGCGCTCACAGCACTCGATGTCATGTAAGAGGCATACTGGGCTTGCTCCACCTGCGTGCTGCTTTGCCCACTGGGTGCTGCATGCCATGTGTGCATCACTGCTGGCACTCCTCCATTGCCCATGCACTCTGCATGCCCACTCCTCCCCCCCTCTTCTGTCTGCACAAACCTAGTGGTCTCGCTTCATTGTGTTCACGTGTGCCTTGCTTAGTAGAGCTCACAGTTGCCACTGCACAATCTCTACCTTCACAATCACAAACCTCGACAATTGCCTGCCTCTAGCCCTTCTGAATCTATCATGCCTTCCAGGTTCCCGCCACCCTCTCTAGACAAGCATTCGAGCCTCTCGTCTTACCACGCGCAACTCACTCAACACCACACAGGAATCTTGGCGGTAACAATCTCACGGGCTCCATTCCCGACAGCATCTCTGCGCTCACAGCACTCGGATTGCTGTAAGAGGCAAACTGGGTTTGCTCCACCTGCGTGCCGCTCTGCCCACTGGGTGCTGCATGCCATGTGTGCATCACTGCCGGCACTCCTCCACTGCTCATGCACTCTGCATGCCCACTCCCCCCCCCCTTCTGCTGTCTGCATTGCGTTGCCACTCCTCGATCTTTGCTGCACCAACCTTGTGGTCTTTCTTCATTGTGTTCACGTGTGCCTTGCTCAGTAGAACTCACAGTTGACACTGCACAATCTCTACCTTTACAATCACAAACCTCGACAATTGCCTGGCTCTTGCCCTTCTGAATATATCATGCCTTCCAGGTTCCCGCCACCATCTATAGACAAGCATTCGAGCCTCTCGTCTTACCACGCGCAACTCACTCACCCCACACAGGTATCTTGGCGGTAACAGTTTCACGGGCTCCATTCCTGACAGCATCTCTGCGCTCACGACACTCGAATTCATGTAAGAGGCACATTGGGTTTGGTCCACCTGCGTGCGGCTCTGCCCACTAGGTGCTGCATGCCATGTGTGCATCACTGCCGGCACTCCTCCACTGCCCATGCACTCTGCATGCCCACTCCTCCCCCCCTCTTCTGTCTGCACAAACCTTGTGGTGTCGCTTCATGGTGTTCACATGTGCCTTGCTTAGTAGAACTCACAGTTGCCACTACACAATCTCTACCTTCACAATCACAAACCTCAACAATTGCCCGGCTCTAGCCCTTCTGAATATATCATGCCTTCCAGGTTCCTGCCACCCTCTGTAGACAAGCATTTGAGCTTCTCGTCTTACCACGCGCAACTCACTCACCCCACACAGGGGTCTTACGAACAACAGTCTCACAGGCTCCATTCCCGACAGCATCTCTGCGTTCACAGCACTTGGAAACCTGTAAGAGGCATACTGGGTTTGCTCCACCTGCGTGCTTCTCTGCCCACTGGGTGCTACATGCCATGTGTGCATCACTGCCGGCACTCCTCCACTGCCCATGCACTCAGCATGCCCACTCCCCCCGCCTTCTGCTGTCCGCATTGCGTTGCCACTCCTCGATCTTTGCTGCACCAACCTTGTGGTCTCTCTTCATTGAGTTCACGTGTGCCTTGCTTAGTACAGCTCACAGTTGCCACTACACAATCTCTACCTTCACAATCACAAACCTCGACAATTGCCTGGCTCTAGCCCTTTTGAATATATCATGCCTTTCAGGTTCCCGCCACCCTATGTAGACAAGCATTTGAGCCTCTCGTCTTACCACGCGCAACTCACTCAACCCCACACAGGGATCTTAGCAATAACAGTCTCACGGGCTCCATTCCTTACAGTATCTCTGCGCTGAAGGAACTCACATCGCTGTAAGAGGCACACTGGGTTTGCACCACCTGCGTGCCGCTCTGTCCACTGGGTGCTGCATGCCATGTGCGCATCACTTCTGGCACTCGTCCACTGCCCATGCACTCTGCATGCCCACTCCTCCCCCCTTCTTTTGTCTGCATCCCTCTACCACTCTGTGTTTCTCCCTGCTATTGTGCTTCAATATTTTCATGCTTTTGCTGCTTGGAAAGAGTTTGTGACTACCATCACACAATATCAACCTAGAAAATTGCAGTCCGCTACAGTAACCTGTCCCTAGCCCTTCCGAACTGATTATGCCTTCACAGTTCCAGCCACCCTCTGTGGACAGGCTCGAGTCACATGTTTCGTTGAGGTGGTGTGCTGTGCTGGTGATCAAGTGGAATGGAGTTGAGGCTGGTTGGGGATTATTTGTCTGTGGCATTCATTGTGAGACTCCCCATTCACCTTCATTGTGTGCTCCATGCACTGCTACTGTGGACTCTGGTTTTTAGCATAGCACATTGCAAGGCACGCGCAAGGTTCTAGATGTACGACTGTCATGAAGTCACACGTGAGTGTTTTTTTCTTTTCCTCCTGCCATGCCCTCTCTTCTCATCACGCGCAACTCACTCAACCCCACACAGGGATCTTAGCAGCAACAGTCTCACGGGCTCCATTCGTGACAGCATCTCTGCGCTCACTGCACTCAGAAACTTGTAAGAGACATACTGGGCTTGCTCCATCTGCGTGCTGCTCTGCCCACTGGGTGCTGCATGCCACGTGTGCATCACTGCCGGCACTCCTCCACTGCCCATGCACTCTGCATGCCCACTCCTCCCCCCTTCTTCTGTCTGCATCGCGTTGCCACTCCTCTATCTCTGCTGCACCAACCTTGTGGTCT